GCCTTGTCCGGTTTGGGAAGAAAGTCAGATGGGCATTCAGGTGCTGTGCCAGCCAGTTCAGCCCCCTGGAAGACGTGACCTTGACAGTGTCGGCCATGCTAACGGCAGCTCACTGGTGGGCTTCCATCACCTGTGCCCACCACTCGGGAGGTGGAGTCAAGCTCTCCCACCTTACAGAAGGGGAAGCTGAGGCTTGGAAACCCCCAGGGAGTCACACACCTGGTGCCACAGAAACTAGCAAGTGGTAGCGGTGGGATTTGAACCCAGAGCCCCTGACTTGGCCTGGACTCTTCTCTGTTTGAGGTAAAATTCAGATACCGTAAGATTAATGATTTGAAAGTGTGTAACTCCCCAGGCACAGTGCGCACAGCTGTAATCCCAATGACTCGGGAGGCTACGGCAGGAGGATACAAGTTTGAGGCCAGCCTGGGCAAATTAGTAAGGCCCTCAGCAAATTAGCAAAACCCTGTCTCTACGTACCACAAACAGGGCTGGGGACGTGGCCCAGGGGCTGGACTGATGACTTACGCAGCCCTGGGTTCGATCCCTGGCACCAAAAATGGAAAACAGAAAAAAAGCTGCCGCTCAGTGAGCTCAGTGGCATGTAGTGCGTCAAGAACACTGTGCAGCTGTCCTGCCGTCTAGTCCAAGACGCTTCCACACCTTGGGGAGAGCCAGCCTCCCCATCACCAGTCCCTCCCTTTTCCCTCCTGCCCTAGGCAGCCGCGATCTGCTGGTCTCTAGGGAGTTTCCTGCTCTGGACAGGTCACATCGCGGATCACAGGAGATGAGGCCCTTCTGTGTCTGGCTCTGTCAGCTCTGTCCCTGGGTCACCTGTGCTGCAGCCTGAGTCCACAGCTTCAGTCCTTCCCATGGCTGGACCACGGACATGCTTCTCGTACTCACCAGCCACTGGGCCTTGAGAGGTCATCCTGGATGCGGAAGCCCGGGTTTCCTACTGTGTTCCCGCGAATCCGGGATGAGCAGAGCACCTTCCCAAGAGTGCCAACAAGACCAAGGACCCTTGATGACCTCCGCGGTGGCAGTCACCAGCCCAGCCCCTGGAACAAGGCGAGTGCTCTTTACCAACCTGAACTCAAGCAGGGGAGCATGGCCCTAGTACGCCCCCTCGGCAGGTCCAGGCTGCGGGACCCCCTGCAACTGTGCACACTGCTCCACCCTCGGGCACCTCAGAGGACGGGGGAACTCGCCAGCCTCTGAAGGGGAGCGGGCGGCACAGTAGTTCCCATGAGCAGCTGCACAGGAGACTCCGCCGCTGGTTTCTGGCCTGTGGGAAGGGCACAGGGCACGGCTGCAGCATGGCAGGTCGGGGAGGGCCGCCTGGGTCTGAGGCCAGGCTTGGTCACAGCTACTTCTGCAGCTGTGAGCAGGGCCCATTACTGGAGACTAATCGTGATTGTCCCAGAAATTAAATGGAAAAGGGCTCCTTCAAGGCCTGGCCCCAGCTGGACGGTCAGTGTTCAGGATTCAGAAGTGGCAGGGGGCAACCTGGAGCACACAGGGAGACCTATCTGCCGTGTGTAGTGAGACCATGGCTTTCAAAAACGAAACTCGGTCCCCGTGCTGAAAGTCTCACACAGCAAGGACAGGGAGAGCCCTCGCCCCACTGCAGAAACAGGCTCACGTCACAGGACACACGCCTGGCGGAGACCCCTCGGCAGTCTGAAAAAGATGTCGAGCTCACTTCAGCAAATCCAAGGTGCTGGAGGCCACGGAGTGCTCCCTGAAAACCTATCCACGTTTGGCCCTGCAGAGCGAGGGGCGCAGCAGCAAAGCACCACAGTTCAGAGCCCTGCCCTCCCCAGGGCGGGAGTGTGGAGGAGACTGCAGACTGGAAAGGGGGCAGACCGCCCCGCCCTCACTGGCTACGTCCTCGTCCATGGCGTGGACCTGTAAAATGGGACTTTGCAACAGCTCAGCAAGGTAAGGGGAAAATATGCTCCTTGAAGAAAGTTTGGAAACAACCGAGAAACGCAGAGAAGAGTTGTGTGCAACAAGCTCCAGCCTGGGTATCTGCATCCCCTCCTGGTGCACAGTTCCCCAAGTTGTTTCCTAGGTGGCTGTTGCTACCACGGACACCACGGTTAGCGGGTTCCTCAAAGCACTCTGTGTGCTTTAGCTCATACACGGTAAGTACGGACTCCTGTGCTGTAGAAGGTGAGACCACAGAAACAGAAAAGCCTTGCTTGAAGTGAGGAGCTGGGATGTACCTGGGTTCCTTCAGCAGCTCTGCCCAGAGGCCCCAGAGGCTCAAGATGGACAACCACCTGCCAAACCTGTGGCTGGTACTGTGGCATGAAACCCTCCGCCCCCCCACCCTCTGCCACCTGGAGATCATTGACAATTACCATGCAGACTCAGGGGAGGGGGAGGAACGCTCACCTCTGTCTGTGGGTCCAGGTCCAGCCCACCGTCTGTGGCTTCAGGGCCCCCAGCCTGAGCCCCGTCCAGGTGGGAGGGGCTTACTGAAACTGGGCTGTCACCTCAAAACACCTCTGTCTGACCCGGTGAAGCCGATACATACATTGTCCTCCAGGGCTGTTAAGCTCCTGAAAGGCCGCTCCTCCCTGACCCCAGAGGCCCAGGGGGATGTGTCCCTGAAAAGAGGCGACTGCCCTGGGACAAGCCGTACCTGCCATCTGAAGGACAGAAATCGCTATGAAAGAACAGCTTTCCCAGACCTCAAAAAATGCATGTGAGGGGCTGGGGCTGAGGCTCAGCGGTACAGCACTCGCCTCTCACGTGTGAGACCCTGGGTTCGATCCTCAGCACCACATAAAAATAAATAAACAAAATAAAGATATTGTGTCCAACTACAACTAAAAAATAAATCTTAAAAAAAAAAAAAAAAAAAAACGCTGCCACTGCTCCCACCGTTAGATGGCACTGTTTACAAAGATTAAGTTTTCAGTGTCTGGTAAGGAGTCAGGATTAATTCAGCTAGCAGGGGCAAAGTGTGAGTTGTCCACATACCAACTCACAGGAAGGAGCCCACGTGGAAACCCCTATGAAAAGTAACGGTGTGGGCGTGGGCAGCCCTTGTGGGCCCTTGAGGACACTCACACAGGGTAGCCCTCTTCCCAAACAAGGTCTGCCGCAGCTTCCCACAGCCCCACTCCCAGGCAACAACTGTTCCGTTGACCGGGCCCTTCCACGCACCCGGGGGCTCCCTTCACCTCCCTTGGTAATTCTCACGCTGGACTCATTTCTAGGACTCCCCAGAAAAGTCCATTTGGGCATGCGTGACTCCTTGTGACCGACTGCTCTCTGGGTCTCTCGTAGTGTCCTTGGCTTATTCAGGGTGTGATTTTACACTTCCCGCACCAATGCTGGCCACCTCTCTGTGGCCCAGAGCTCTGGAGGCACCTGCAGTTAGGCGCCTGTACTGAGACTGTACCCTGAAGGTGACTGCAGCATAGATCTGGTGTGACAGTGCTCGGGACCTCTCCTGTGGCTTTGCCAAACAATTGCCTTACTTGTGAAATCAAAATGCACACTGAGATGGTGATGCCTTACAATCAATGAATCATAGAAACCTGACCATCTAAAGATAAAGAGGCCACAGGTACAGGGTGGAGGCAAATTGCTTAAAAGAATCCCATGTTTTGGGGGCCAAAGGATGGGGTTCTAGCCCACTCACTGGCCAGAGAGATTACATAGGGGCAAAGCTTCAGTCTCCTCATTGATAAAATACCACCAAGAATTGGCACCTGCCTTATTAAATTAGAAGTCGTATACTGAAGTCTTAGCAAGGGCTCAGTAAGTTGGTCACATGGTTTTCTGCCTTCTGAAAGGACAGTGTGAGAAGCCAGAGTAGGGAGTGTGGTTTTTTTTTTTAATCTTTCCCTAGGCACCAACTTAGGCAACATAGTGTCGCAAGTTCATATGTGTAACTTTTTGGCGGCTCTGCTCTGGCTTCTTGTGCTGCAGAAAATTCAGGCAGTTTTATCACTCTGGAAGGATGACCAGCTCACATGGGGGGTCCAGAAGGATATGTGTTGGCCTCCCCACGAATAACCCCTTGCTGGGGCTCTAAGGACAGCCAGCTTCCCAGCAGCAGTTAGCGGACCAAAGATGGCAGAGGTCTGACCTCCTTCCACCATGGCCACTCCTCAGGGTGCCGGGGAGCACACCGTGGCTCAGCAGACTGTCCTGCAATGACACCATGCACTGTCCTCTGGAACAAAGGCCTCCCCACACGCCCACTTCTCCTGCTGGCCTTTCCCAGGACACCTTATGACAAGTAAAGGGGAATGATGGAGTGTGCCAAGAGCTTCTCTGCCCGGGCCTGACCCTGGGCTGAGTTTTCCCTGTGCACTCAGCAGGTGCTTAGGACCCTGGATCCCAGCAGCCCCTCCTCTGACTTCTAACCACGCCACCTTGCAGCCTTCCTACCTCAGAGGCCTCTGGCCTATCCCAGGAATGACCGTAGCCTGCCTGGGAAGCCCATTTAGGTTTTGGGGTGGGGGTCCTCATTCTTGCTCTTTCAGAGGAGACCTCGTAATATTGATTGAGCATAAGCAGATCCCTGGTTTCCCAAAGCCTGTGCTCCTGTTTCTGAGAGCGTGCGCCCCACATCACCGGTTTCTGACAAGATTCGACTTGGGATAAAATGGGATTCTCTCAGTGCAGAAATGGGCTCCTAAACGGCCGGCTTTTCCCCTGCTCGCCGGCAAGCACACCCACAGCCTGGTGACTCAGTTCCCCAGGACTGAGCTGAGCCACGTGCTGCCCCAGCTCCCAGAAGCCTGGGACCACAGACTTGGCGGGGCTAGGGAGTGTCCCATCACTCGGGCCAGGCAGAACTGGGCCCGGGTTCCCGTCAGGGGGTGGGCGAGCACACCACACCCCAACCCCACCCTTCCCGCACTTGGCCCCAGGCCACCTGCTCCGGCCTGGGCTAGGTGGGGAGGGCTGCCAGGGGGAGGGGAACGCCAAACAAAGGGCCCCTAGGCGGCCCGCACGCCCGGGGAGTTGGGATGGGGCGGCGCGTAAGCCCCGAACTTGGTCGCCCGGACTCCGCCAGCGCGGTCCGGTCGGCGACGCTCCACGTGCTCCCAGCAGCTTGCTGGGGGCGGTTCTCGGCCGGGCGGGACCAGCGGGCGGCGGGCGTGCCTTGGATAAGGGG